TAAGTATAATTATAAATAGTTTTTTATTGTAAAAAAAATTAAGAAAAATAAATGGTGTCCCATTCTAAAAGGAGAAAAGTCAATAAATTTTGAAAACATTTGCAGAAAATGTATATTTATTTTAAGACTTACATTTATTTTTTATTCTAAAAAGATGAATAAAAATTTAAACATACGACCTATGATTAGATACCCACTTATTAGTAGTTGGAAAGCTGTAATGCATTGCCGACACATTTAGTAACATTTGGTTTGGGTCATGAACTGCATCATATATTTTGATGAAAATAAAAAACATACTTTTATGATGGAGAGACAATATAGCAGTACCTTGGGACCTTTGTTGGGTTTAACATGTTACTGCTCTTCATGTAATGGGGCTAACATGTTACTTTGCACATGAAAGGAGAGTACGGAGGTTTGAGCATTGCCTAAACTACAGTTTACAGGTACAAGACAAGAGGTCTCTGCATAATGTGAGTAAATGGGAGCATGCGACCCACCTCCAAGACACTGTCACCCCCACATCATCAATCACATTTTTACTTTTCGGGAAAAGGCATCAAGTTTGAGTTTTAACTTGGAAATTTGAGTCTATATATTTAAAGAGATATATGGTCCTTTGATTTATAAATAAATAAAATTGACTTTAAGTTGTCAAATATGATTAAGATATGATATCTAATTCATAAAAAAAAAGTGAGAATTTTTAAATTTTAAACTAAACAAACCAATAAAAAACAAAGAGAAAAAAAGTAATAAATGTATATGATATGATATTACAGAAAAAAATAAAAAGAGATAAAAAATATTAACAATATTTAGATATTTATAAATCAAATTTGTTTGACTTTTGAAATATTTAAAATTTCATAGTTTTTTATTAGTTCTTAAATTATGGTTGGGTTGATGTATGCAAAACTTTTTTGGTTTATTATTATAGCACGTAGTTTGCTCCTTTGACTTTTTATTATTTTTATTATTTCATCATTGTACCAAAGAAAACTATGGTTGATTTTTTTAATCATTTTTTCGTTTAGTTATTCTTTATTTATTGATACACTCACAGTGTTAGTGTACCATCATTTTAATTTTTCATTTGTGCAATACCTATATTGTTTATTAAAATATTAATTTCATGTATAGTTTAAATTTTGAGAAAATAAATAAATGATATAATAATGATAAAATATTGGATTAATACTTTAATTTCAGTTTAATTTTAAAATATTAAATATGATTTTAATATTATTAATCACTTATAATGTTTCATTTTTATTATTGATTTAACTTATCATTTATGCTATCTATTAATTAGAATTAATATCATAATTGTTAACATTTATAAAAAGTATATATTAACTAATACTGAGTAAGACCAAGTGAGTGAAATAAAGATTTTACTGATAATTGATACATTATATGCATGAAAAGCAATATTAGCCCATCTTAATTTATTAGTTCGAAAGAGAAGAATCAATTAGTCAAATAGTCATAGTCTGAATAATGATTAAAAAAAAAGGTGCTTATCTATTATGTGCCCATTTTCCATTATTTTTCGTTTACGTGGATACAAGAAAATAGAAAACTCCACTTAGTGCACAGAACATATTAGTAATTTACACAGGATAATTTTTTATACCAACCATGAATTTGGGATTAAAATACAAACATGTCTTAACTGTGTAATTGAATTATTTGTTAGAGATAAATTATCTTAACAATGAATTATACTTATAATTTACTGCATTACAATTGAGTATATGGAATTAATTTTATGTTTAGATATGTTAGGTACAAATTGATTTTAAAATGATATATTTTAGTCGGATTATATAAAATAAATATTTTTTAAAGTTAAATCATAAAGATTTAAATTATTTAAAATTGTTGATTTTGTATTTAATTATCAGAGATATAATAGAAAAATTAAAATAAACTAAATTCAAGTTGATTATTTTTAATCATAAATTTAAAATTTTTATTTATGTTAAGAAAATATTTTTTTGTAAGAAAGACATTTAAAAATTATAAGCTGACTTTTTATGGCTTTTGTTATATGAAATATCAAAATATGAAATTTTGAAAAAATATTACAAGAATATAAAAAATCTTAAAAAATTAATAATGTTTTAGGTAAAAAACTATTATTATTAATTTTTGGTGTTTTATTATTTTTTTAAAATTATCATTTACAATTTAAAATTTTTAATATTTTTTAAAAAAATCGTCATTTGACCTTTTCTGTATTTTATAATTTTTGATTATTTTATCTGTATTCTCTGTGTCTGTATTATTGACGATTTTTAAATCTTATATTTAATAATTTTTTAAAAATTTCATATTTTTACATATATTATTTATAAATACCATATAAAATTTTAAAAACCTTTGAAAACATTACCAAATATACATTGAATTCAGGTATTGGCATACATAATGTCACAGTACAAGTGGGCAACAGAGGACAACTAGCCCAAAGATGAAACAGAGGATTGGTTTAGATTGTGTTTCAGAGTAACATATTTGGTGGTCCCTCAGATTGGTACGTCACAGATATACGAATCCTTTTTGCGGGTATGTCACAGTGTACAGTGTGTTGGATTCCCCATTTCTGGATAGTTTATGGTTTACTTTTGTGTTATATCTCAAAAGGGATAAGATCTAGTTCAGCACACACACACCCTTGACCAATTCCTTTTTGGTGTAAAAAGGTTTAATACCAAGAAGCCGTACTAACTGCACAAGTGCACTCTGCACTGCGTCATGTATCGATTTTTGTTAGATCAGTGCCATCGACTTAACCAACCCTGCCCAAAACCGATTACCCTTACCCTGTGAGCGTTTTCATGTTCAACTATTCAACCTTTTTTTTAACCAAAGGCTTCATGCATTTGCTTAATAGATGTACGTTGTGACCACCAAAATCTTCAATGTTAGAAGTTCAAAACAAGAAAAGGGAAAAGTGTACACACACAAATGAGCAAAGAAAAAAGTTTTTTGTTTCAGTGTGCACTTATTATTCTCTCAAAAGTGCCATGTATTATTGCATTTTCCCAAAAAGATTTGATTGGATTATAGTGTGAGTTCAATTATGTCGATTTTGAAATTAAAAAAAATCTTATTTTTCTTCAAAACGGAAAGCCATGCGTTACTTAAGTGGTAAGAAACTAAGAAATTGCTATATAAAATGGATAACCCGATGGAAACAGTTTAGTTAGTTGAGTTAGTTGCTTGAGAGTTTATGAACTAACCCATACTAAGTTTGGATTAAGTTAGATATTATTATGGTTATTATTTTAAAATTATATGCCTATTTTCTTTAAAATATTAAGTTTATAGACAAACGAATAAGTTTAAACTTAATAACTTATTTAAAGATGCGTTTGTTGATATATATATAAAAAGATCTATTATAAGGTACAGTTTTAAATAGTTTGTAAATCATATCAGACTCTTAATAAGATGGATAAGTTAGAAAATAAAGATAGACAATCTCAAGTTCAGCAATTAAGTCAAACACAAGTCTATCATTCCCTAAATTAATTATGAAATGTTCTTAAAATAAATTGAATGAAATATTAACAAGGAATTCCAAGTTTAGGTCCTTTTATATCTAATTACGTTAAAACTTGGAAAGAGTTTTGTTGCCTTTATTTTCTCCTATTTGATTTGATCTAAATTAATCAAACACCGACGGTTCTGAAAAGAATGAATTGAAGTATAATTATCTTACTACCAAATGCTTGGGAAAAGTTGCTTGTTTGGCAATTATTTGATAGCACTTGTCGATTAATGTTAATTAATATATGTACACAACCACACCCTAAACAAGTATGTCATTATTCCTTAGTCAAGTTTTTCTTCATTTAGTTGAATGAGTGTAATAAAAGAGAATTATATATATATATATATATTTGCTGTTATTACAATCATCTAAGTATCAAAGAAAAGGATTTTTTTTAAATATAATCTAGTAGTTTTTTTAGAGTACTATTATTACTTGATCGCATGTGTCCTTTTTTAAAATTTCTTTTATTTTTTCGTTTTCTATTGGATTGGATTTTGTATCTTCATAAATCATTTAGATCTTCCAATAAATTTGTGAAAAATATAACAATCTTTCACTCATATAAAAACATATAAAGTTACAATATCATTAATTTGTGTAGTATTTAGAATGGTTTTAGTAATTAAGAACTAAAAAAAGTCATTTACTTATTATCATAATTCAAACATGTTGCCTCTGTTAAAATGTCCAACCACTGCGGCCGGTCAGCATCTCTGTAGTTTTGACTCAACAGAAGATTACATTATGGCAACAAAATATTAGTCACACATTTTAACACTTTTGGTATATTTTTGTAAGAAATTTAGATTTGACTAACTTTCAGAAGCTAATTCAAAAGAAGAGAATTATTTTAACTCAATAAATTGATTCTATTCTTAACTAATATGGAATCTTTTAATACACTTTTTTACATTTAAAATTAAACATTTAGTATGTAAAATTTGCAGAAATAAATATCAACATAGGTAAAATCTTTGTAGAACTGAATATTTGCATCGATAGAACTTAATAAAAATAAATATTTATGGATAGTCTAATATTTAAATTGTACACACTTTAATATTATGTTAAAAAATTTAGGTCTAACTTGTTAAAAATTATTTATGTAAATTTTAGAATTTTTTAAAATATATTTTACTGTTGAATAAATTCAGGTATAAAATCTCACATATTTAACAAATACCATACATACATACATATATATATATATATATATATATATATATATATATATATATAATAACTTTTTTAAATGCTTTGAAAAGTAAAAACAAAACTAAATTACAGAAATCGAGAGCAAGAAAGCTAGTCCATTGAAGTATATTTGGTTCAAAGGGTCTAGCCTCAGTACGATGGTAACTTTGGGTCTATTTTTTTTTTTTTTCTCTATTTGGCATTTTGTCTCTTTTAATAAGATTCCCTGATACATTGACATTCAAACCCACCCTGCACCAACTTCTATCATTTTCACCGTCTTGTTTTTCTACTACCTATGACAAGTTAACCACCCTTGTCTTATCTCCTTGCATATAGGCTTATGTCAAATTCTTAGAATCAACTCAATATATGAAAAAATTAACCTGGGTTAACCAAGGGCATTCAAAACGTGCCTTATCAAATCAATTAAAATCCAAGACTATTACACATCCGAGTTTCAGCGTGTTACTGTGTCTCTGCGCGTGTTAGAGTGTGCGTGTCTCAGAAACAGAGTAACGATAATAACTACCGACCAGAGCCATAGTTTATGGAAAAACACAAGGAATTCATTATGCAACATAAAATACGAAAAAAAAAAAACATAAAAGGAAGGAACAAAAAGGGAAATTGAGAAAAGGACAAATGTAAAAAATTTATTAATAGAGATGCAAAAATCTCATGGTCGTAGTTAACTTTAGGAAGTAGCCACCCAACGTGGCTCACTCCAATTTAACAACAATTCATTATTTTCATGCTTACCACCTTCTTTGCACCTTCTTAGCCTCTCGTACTTTTCCTTAATAACGTCACTCACCTCACACTCACATCCGCATGCAACATCTCCTTCTTCCTCTGTTTCCTGCTCTGTTTTCTCCTCTGTTTCTTGCAATATGTCATTTTCTTGTTCGTCGCCTTCTTCTTCCTCTTCTTCAAAATATTGTGCTTGTCCATTCATTTCATTTTCAAATTCTTCTTCTAACCCGTCATTGGTTGTTGGTTCGTTTTCTCTTGCGTCATCATCTTCTTGCTGGTCAAAACTTGGAGCGTGATTTGTCAAAAAGCAGAGGCGGAGGCGGCCATGGCTCCTCTCAGCTTGAAAGCACGAGGAAGTGAGTGGGACCTTGGTGACCTGAATCACTAGCCGTCCATCTTCACGGTGGGGCCTTACACGGAGAGATTCTGATCCTCTTATCGTTGTCAAAGGAGGTGGAAAATTCTGGGTTTTCGCTTTCTTAGCTGCGAAAGGTTGACGAAATTGGCTCTGTTCCCTTGTCTCCGAATTTCCGCCAGCACAGTTCGGTGAAGAGAGCATGTCAATGCCGTTTTCAGCAATGTGAGTGCCACTCTCGTTCCCTAGATTCTCCGTGCACAGTTCAAGGCTCTCTGAACTGAGGAGCAACGAGGAACGCTTCTGTTGAGGGTGCACGTAGGTGGTTTCTTTGTGCGATGGTTCTTTGGTGCTTTGTGAGACGTTGGAAAGTGCTTCCAAAAAGATCCCACAACCCATGTTGGGGTTGGAGGGTATGGACTTTTCCTTGTCTTGGAACTCGTTTTCTTCATCATGGGGTTTAATATTTGAATCCCAAAAGTAAGACTTTAAGGCCAAATCAATGGATTGAGAAGGAGATGGTTTTGAGGAAGGTAACCTTAGCCTAAGTGTTCTTGACTCGACGAGTTGAGACGCAAGGTGTGACTGCAATTCGTGACACACAATTGCAGCCATAATTAAAGAAAGTTGAAACGGAAACAAACTTGGAGGCTGGGGAAAGGGTGTTATGTTTGTGTTTGTAAGGAGTGAAGAGAAGCACCACGAAAAGATACGAGTAACAAAGAGAGGGAGAGAATGAAAGAGTTGGTAGTGGACAATGGCATGAGAAGAAGTGAGGGAGGTGGGAATGAATTTGTAGTACCCCAAAAGTGCTGAGTAGGGAAGGGGGGGAGGAGTGCTTTTGTACCACTTGAAAATATTCAATTCTTTCCCACCACACAACACAAAAAAAGGTGAACTAAATTAAATTAAAAATAAACTGAATTTTCAAAAATAAGAAAAACGAGGTGTACGGCAAGTAAAAGCTAGAAGATCTCCTCTCCCTGTTGGTAGTAGAGTATTTTTGTTTCTCATTTGATGTCACAAGATATATAATAATTTTCTATGGAAATTCCCATATTTCCTTTTTCATAATCTTTAGGATGCACAAATTTGGAGTTGTAAGCATGTCCTCAAGGGACCTGATCACTTCAGCAACACCTCTGTAGAAAATCCAAGTGGAAATCAACGAAAAATGGGAGAGACATGACGGTTTTATTTGGCTGCAAAACAACCTGCTTTTACCATTCCTTTCCAAAAGAAAGCCAGCAAAAGGCCAAGCACAATTGGATTCTCACATATATTTGCTTGAAAGTGATATCTTGTGAACAGTTGTTTTTTATGGCAATCCATAGAGTTTTGTCTAGGGTTGTAATACCATGTAGGGTCAATATTAAGGCTGATTTGTATTTTATTCAAAGAAAGTAAAAAATAAAAAAATAAAAAAAATAAAAAAAATAAAAAAAATAAAAAAAATAAAAAATAAAGTGAAACACCAGCATACACACAGCCTTTGAAAACAAAAAAAAAAAAAAACCAGTAACTGATTAATTATTTTTATTCTTTATAAACTAAAAATAAAATTTTAGACATATGTGATTTTCAGACATTTAAATGAAAGGAGAATAATTTATATGAACACTCATGATCCTAAATTTTAAGTTTTATTGATTCTGAAGTTTATATTAACTCTTCTTCCTCGTTTCCTTTCTTTTTACTTATCTTTCAAATTTCTTTTTTTTTTCTCTCTTTTCAAACTTTCAAAACGAAAAAAATAAAAATCTTACCGATTTACAGTAAAAAATTTACATTTCACTAAAATGGGGTGTTTGGTACATGGTGGGAAGACTGCCTGCTACGTGCACCAATGATTGTGTTTTGGGAAAATCTGGAGCCATAAAAACAGGATCCCATGGCTTTATTTTCTGCCTAAGGTTTGAAAATCTGGGATGTACACAACACATAGTCCTACGCGGCATGACATGTTCTGTCTATGATGGTGAAAATAATTCAAACCCCTTCATCATAGCTCTCCCCCAACATGCTTTGAATGCAAGTTTAGTGCCATTCACATCGATTTGTTTTTCAATTTTCATCGTTTATGATCAATATTAATATTTTCTAAAATGCATGTATTTTAGAAGAGTTGTATTTTAAAAAATAAAAAAAGAGTCAAACTTTAATTCGAAATTCAACTTTCAAAAGATAAGGGAGTTGCAGTTGTCAACCTTTAAAATATATATATATAATAGTTTGGTGCTTGTATAATCCGAAAATTTTCAAAACAAGTCCAGGTTCTGTCTTTGAAAATTGTTTGAGCATATGGATGAATAAATAATCTCTGCATTTTTGTTATGTTTAAGGTGATCTGCTTTTTTCTTCAAATAAAATAATAAAAGATTACGTCGTGTTATTGTTATTTTTTTAGTTAATTTAGATGCATTTAGTTTTAAGATTCTACCCGCAATACTAAGTTTTACGTAATCTAAAATAAATTTATTCAGTTTCTACCACTTAGTAATTATTGAACAATTAATCATTTATTAGCTTGTTAAGCTTTCTTTTTACTGAGTTAGCATTCCTCTGTGTATATATATACACAGGTGATCATCCCAGAACTCTTTAAAAAACTGTAATACTGAATTATTGGATAATGTATTAATATTTTATTTGAGATTGAATATCAAATCTAAGACTGAGCGTAAATTGTAATTTTATTATTCAATATTATAAATATAATAAATATAAATTATTTTTTATTATCTCATATCTATAATTTTTTTTGTTTGTGTTTAATTTAGGATTGAATCATGATAAAATCGTTTTATATACGTCTTGAGTACAATATTCTTTTCTCAGAATTATTATTATTAGTATTATTATGATGATGATTGTGTGTCTTTGTGACTGCAAGAAAAAGATTGTGTAAGGCCAGCTTTAATCAAGCAACGATATAGTTTTTATGTGTAAAATATGAAAAATGATTCAATTTTTTTTGGTTTAAATTATATCTGTTTTGAATGTATTCAAAATAGGAAAGTGAAGGGCAGAAAAATAATGTCATTAATTTTTTTTTAAATGGAGAAATATTTACGTGAAACGTAGTCAAAGCTTTCTCTCATTATGTAAACAGAAAATTAAAAAGGAAAAGAAATTTTTGTGTAAAAAATAAATTTACCGATCTACTTACTAATTATAATATTAAAAATATAAAATTAGTTAATATATTACATATTCTTTAAATTTATTTATTTATTTTCATTCATTATGACATAATAGTGAAATAAAGTTTCATCTTTATTTATTTTTATGATGATTTAAAATACATTTCCTGTAAATTATTATAACATACAATAAAGTTATATTATCTTCATTTACAACATACGATAAAGTTAAAATATCTGGAGATATTTATTAATAAATCATAATTAACTATATAAATAAATTTGGATATAGTATTCAATATAAAAATTTAAAAATTACTGAATTGTGAGTTGTTATTATTTATATATTGTTTTATTTTTATTTTTATTTAGTGTAAAATCTATTCATTTGTATAAATTAAAAGTTTAATACACCTTTAATCTATTTATTATAATTAATGTATGATTTTTATTTTTCAATAAATTTAATTTATGATTTTTTTATTGTTACAAATAAGTTTTTTTTTAGTTAAAACTATTAAATTCTTAGTTTTTACTCAAAAAATTTTCGTAAATTAAATTTATCAAATAATTTTAAACTTTCTTTTGCATAAAAATCACTAAATAATATTAAATTTCACCTAAAATAAAAATCTCAAAACTTTCTCGATATTAAACTCCAACATCATATCCTTCAAGCTACACTTTAAAATTTTAACAATTTTTTAAACTAAAATTGACTTCTAAATTTTTAAATAATATATAAAAACATAAAATCTATCATAAATTTCCTAATTATTTAAATAAAATATTAATCAAAATGTTAAATTTATTAGTTTTATAAAAATAAGTTTAACTTGCTTAAATAAACTTAAGAGGATAAATCACATACAGTCTATATCATTATAATTCAACCTAAAATAATTCCTTTTCTGTGTGTATATTTATAACTGCCATGCATTATGTGGGTGTAGAGGGAGAGCTAATGGACTAATTTGGCTCGAATATGAAAAGGCAAAAGAAAAACAGAAGAAGAAGATGAAAAAGCTCAGTATTACTGTTGCCAATCCATAAAGAATAGGCAGAAAAATTGAAGAGTGATGGTGTCGTGGGGAAGATATGGGTCAAAAACTGACAACCATAATAGGACATTAGAATAATCTAAATAAGAATTAAGAATTGAGTTTAATTATTGAGTCCATGACAGCTCTAACCTTTGCATCCTATTCCCAGAAAGAAAACGCAATTATAGTTTTTTTTTTTAGCTTTCCATTTAGAGTTAGTACTTGGGTTTCCCTATGAAACGGTGATGGGTTTGCATGTTACCATAATATGGTCGCATTTGGTATCAAACACCTAGTCACAACTAAGCAATATGTACGATTTCAGAGAAAATTAAATAACAAAAGGTGTGTACTGAATTAACATAAGTTATTTGGAAAGGCAAAATTACTATTTGAAGTTGTGTGGATTTTTAAATGAAAAGTCTTCCTGAAGACCGAAAAAGAAAAATAAAGAGTCTTCCTAATTTTGAGTTAAAGTATATATGAGGTTAGCTCAAGTACACTTCCTTGCTACAAGACTATCTTTATCGAGGGACTACATAACTTATTTTTCAACTTAAGGAACGGTTTCTTGTAGAATTTTATCAATAGAATATGAGTTGGTAAAATACACAGGCAATCAGAAAATTTATTATAAAAATATAATTTATATTATTAATTAACTTTAAAAAATATATTTAATTAATAAATTATAATTTAAGTAAAATTTACTAGGATGATAACATGTTTTTATACTATTATCTAATTACAGATGATTATATTAGTGAAAATAATTAATTTTTATAATAATCATTTTAAAGTTATATTTGTTATATATTCTAATTAATTGATAATGTAAAAAAAATTGATAATAAGTCAAAATTATATTAGTAAATTATTTAATATTTAATATTTAATTCTTAAAATAATCATCAAGTTAACTTTATGATATAAAAACATATTACTTATATATATATATATATATATATATATATAAAGGTATTTAAAATATTTAAAAAATTATCTTTCCCTTGTATAAAATTTTAAATAAAAATCAATTTATATTATGTTTAAATAAATGTATAATACTTTTTTATATCATAGTAAAAATTGTAATTATTATATTATAAATAAATAACTTATTATTTTATATTTATATGTATGATACTTGCATAATATATATTATAATTAAAGAAGAAAGAAGTAGAGGACAAAATTAAGTCAAAATTAATATTCAACTTTGCAATTGAAAGTTGGAGATAAAAACTTGCTTTTATATATACTGTATATATATACATGAACCTTTTAAGTTTCGAAAGTTGAGTTTACACCAGTTAAATCTAACTAAAGTGACAGATATTCCACCAGAACGTTTTTAATTCTACTACTTCCCAGTATGTATTGAAAGAACGTTATATAAACTGAACTAACATACGTTGATTCGTTACTGGAGAATCTCTAAATACAAGCATCAGCATCTTTATATACCAGCACCCCAATTTGATTTGCTTACAGTGCACTAATTGTCAGCTTTATTGCCATGCATAGTATGAAACACCGCGAATCATAAACGCGTAAACCAACCTAAAAGCTCACTAACCATTTGTATTCTGACCATGATGTTTTGATACCAAAACTTATAATTAAATTATTTTAATTTGTACAATTTTTTTTACAAATTAAAGAGAGAAAAAAGAAAAAATAAGATAAATGAATGATAGAATAGAGAGAGATTGAATAAAAATAGTTATAAAAAGTGTTAATTATAAGAATTTGTTACAAAATATTATAGTTAAAAAACAAAAAGGAAAAAGAGGGTTAAATTTCGTATCTCAGTGCAATTTGGGTCTCTTTGTTTTTCCTGTTAAAGGCTCAAACCATAGACAGGCAGCTAGGTATGACAACTTGATTAGAGAGAGAAAGTATGATATTTGCATCAGAATCCATATGTAAATGCATGTTCTTTAATCTTGTTTTTTGTAATGGAGAATCTTTAACAAAGTACGTCATGTCCTTTTGGACTTAATTAAGATTTAAGTGAAGCCTAAGGTTGGCTATACTTTCAAATTGTTTCACCATAAATCTATCATCTTTAATAATAGGAGCTTTATTGGGAATGCAAGAGAATCCATGAGTACATCGCTTCACTTAAACAAGCAAGGAAACAAAGGCCAAAATTTTTCCCCTACCTACCTTTTTGACCATGTGTGAGTGTCACCTTTACAATAA